ATTTATTTGAACAAACTTGGTAGCCCTTCATCCCAGCATGTTACTGGCCAAATATCATCATCCTAGGCCTCTTGGTTATTCAGAAGAAGTTGATTAAAGATTTTTACATATTTGACCCCTGTGACCTTGAAAATTGATGAAGGTCATTTATTTGAACAAACTTGGTAGCCCTTCATCAAAGCATGCTTCTGGCCAAATATCATCACCCTAGGCCTTTTGGTTACTGAGAAGAAGTTGTTTAAAGTAAAAAGTTGACGCCGGACGGACGACGGACGGACGACGGACGCCGCACCATGCCATAAGCTCACTTGGCCCTTCGGGCCAGGTGAGCTAAAAATGAATGGCTTAATTTTATATATTCATTAATGAGCTTGAAGGCTTACTTGTCTCCATTGATAAAGGCAATAGGAATGGTGAATTCCTGCATCATCCTCTCCAGGTGTCTGATCATTGATACAATGCTGTAATAAGATAGAACAATACTGGTTTAGTCACAGGTACCTGTCTCAAAATTAAAGGTGTGGGTTTGTGTACCGTTTCTAGGATCACGCAGCTTCTGTTCAACTTACAGAAAAATCTGCCATTTCACAGCAATTTTCCCCTTTGAGGTTAAATTAGAATAAGATTTTCATAACAGTGTAATTGACCTTTCATATAAATCATGTCATTATTATTTTCCTTTTAACTAGGGAAAATAACTTTTACAGTACAGTACAGATAAACGGAAGGACAGAAAACAGAAGTACAGATATAAGGAAGGACAGAAGACAGTAATACAGATAAACGGAAGGACAGAAGACAGCAGGACGGATATATGGAAGGACATAAGGCAGGAGGACAAATATACGGAAGGACAGAAGACAGTAATACAGATAAACAGAAGGACAGGAGACAGTAGTACAGATATACGGAGGACAGAAGATAGTAGTAAAGATATACGGAAGGACAGAAGACATTAGTACAGATATACGGAAGGACAAAAGACAGAAGTACAGATATACGGAAGAATAGAAGACAGTAGTACAGATATACGGAAGAATAGAAGACAGTAGTACAGATTTACGGATGGACAAAAGACAGTAGTACAGATATCAGAAGGACAGAAGACAGTAGTACAGATATCAGAAGGACAGAAGACAGTAGTACAGATATCAGAAGGACAGAAGACAGTAGTACAGATATATGGAAGGACAAAAGACAGTAACAGATATATAGAAGAATAGAAGACAGTAGTACAGATATACGGGAGAATAGAAGACAGTAGTACAGAGTACAGATACAGGAAGTACAGATATACGGAAGATTAGAAGACAGTAGTACAGATATACGGAAGGACAGAAGACAGTAGTACAGATATACGGAAGGACAGAAGACAGTAGTACAGATATACAGAAGGACAGAAGACAGTAGTACAGATATACAGAAGGACAGAAGACAGTAGTACAGATATACAGAAGGACAGAAGACAGTAGTACAGATATACGGAAGGACAGAAGACAGTAGTACAGATATACGGAAGGACAGAAGACAGTAGTACAGATATACGGAAGGACAGAAGACAGTAGTACAGATATACGGAAGGACAGAAGACAGTAGTACAGATATACGGAAGGACAGAAGACAGTAGTACAGATATACGGAAGGACAGAAGACAGTAGTACAGATATACGGAAGGACAGAAGACAGTAGTACAGATATACGGAAGGACAGAAGACAGTAGTACAGATATACGGAAGGACAGAAGACAGTAGTACAGATATACGGAAGGACAGAAGACAGTAGTACAGATATACGGAAGGACAGAAGACAGTAGTACAGATATACGGAAGGACAGAAGACAGTAGTACAGATATACGGAAGGACAGAAGACAGTAGTACAGATATACGGAAGGACAAAAGACAGAAGTACAGATATACGGAAGAACAGAAGACAGTAATACAGATAAACAGAAGAACAGGAGACAGTAGTACAGATATACAGAAGGACAGAAGACAGTAATATGGATAAACAGAAGAACAGGAAACAGTAGTACAGATATACATAAGGACAAAAGACAGGAGGACAGATATACGGAAGGACAGAAGACAGGAGGACAGATATATGGAAGAACGGAAGACACCCAGATTCCAGTAAACCTGGGCCTCTATACCTCTTAGGGTGATTTAGACTAATCAATATCTTACCTTCCCCAGGTTAGACAGTAGTGTTGTTTGAACGTCAAAAACTCGGCAGACGTGTCCCGTATCTTTCCGTTCTGGATGGCAAACCTATGGGTAAGGTGTTTGATGTCACCACTAGCGGGGGTCGTAGGTGGTGGCTGTGGAGACAGATTTCAAATTCACTATAATAATGTAAGTGAAGCATCAGTGGTTTAGTGTGTCACATGTAAGATAGAGTGGACAATGCTGTGATGTACTAATTGTAAATCAATCACAAATTGTCAAAAGAGTTCACACATTAAATCTGTTTATTATGCACATACACTTGGCTTATCTATCAATGACAGTCGATAATGTAAAGAACTATATTACGATATTCATAACATCAGTGAGTTATATAATGGAGATCCATAACTTGCAGCCAACATCTAGTTATTACAGACATTTATACTTGCTGATAAAAGTTACATTACTCTCGCTAACAACACACCTACCCTAAATGATGTCTGTACATTACTCTCGCTAACAACACACCTACCCTAAATGATGTCTGTACATTACTCTCGCTAACAACACACCTACCCTAAATGATATCTGTACATTACTCTCGCTAACAACACACCTACCCTAAATGATGTCTGTACATTACTCTCGCTAACAACACACCTACCCTAAATGATGTCTGTACATTTCTTGGTTATCCTTTTGTTACTAGATCTTTTATCCATTTTCATGAAAATATTACAATTTGATATTCTTCATTTCTTAGATTTTTTCTATGTATTCATACACGTAAAACATATCCAGGCTGAGCAGTAGGTTTTTAAGAACAGGCAACATTACAGTACATGTACTCATTAAATCAATTAATGGTAATATACAGACGATATCACAACCGACACCAACATTAACCCAGAACCAGAGCTATCACAGAAATCAGATGATTCTAATCAGTCAGGGATATATATACATGTATAAATATTAACAACAGATTACTAAAGTACATTATACATATAATTGATAATACATTTGTTAAATGGTGTGCCGTGATCGTTAGCTTGTAATGTTGTATAACTATACTAATACATGTGCATAGTGATCACCAGAATCGTTTCTGATGGAGTCCAAGGTTTGCGTGCAGGGCATAAAGTGGCGGACAGAGGAAAGCTGGCTGCAAACATCTCTTTCTTTATCGCAACAGAATTTTGGACATCACATATCCGCAAAGAATGAGAATTTTGGACACAAGTTCCAGGCAAGAGGTCAATGTCGTTAAAGTAAAGACGGAAGCATGCAAGAAAAATTTATCGTAGGATTTGAATTATCAACCCATCATACTTGCCATAATTTGTAATTGTAGACATTACAATAATAAGTTTATCAGGATGCCATAGACTAGAAACTGATAATTTGTCCTATGTCTTATTTCTATGTAGTTTGTTAAAGGTGCTCGTGTAAATACAGCAGAAAGCTTGACTCTATGATAAGAATATGACATATATTATAATGGTGTCATTTCAGGTGGTAAGATTTTTGTGGTTTTGTTACTAGAACGTATTTTAGACTTCAAATCTTGTGTAGCACTGTTAATAGACAGTGTAGTGCTAAGTAACACTCGATCAAAAGCAGGACTCATACGCAGTGGTCCTGTTTGGCATATCATTTCAGGCAGTCAATATAGCAACAATGAAACTCCACAAAACATAAGTCCTGTACAGTATATGTTACAGAATACATTTAATATTACATAAAGGACAAACATTGTTCAATAGATAACTGTGTCAATCACAGAATTTTCCAGAGCCTGACACCTGCAGTTTGGAGATCACGTATGTTGCAAAGCCCACAGGAGATTACAGAAATGTTGGACAGGGTGAACGATGGTGACTGAACATATAGCCAGCATTTACATACACATGGGAACAGATTGTACCAGGTATGGTTAGCTTATACAGAAAAGAAATCATAGATTCTGAAAGGCTACAAAATAAAGAGATTTAGCACTACTGTATCTATGTAGGATGACTATACATGCATGCGTTGACCCTGAGAGTGAACCTTAATGTGGGGTAGGTAGGTAATGTCCGCGGGCCTGACTGTGCTGGAAGACTGTCCCGGGATATGGACTATCTTGTTGAGGTCAGGTGACTGTATCAACTCCTTAAAAAGGCAAGTGAGTGGCAACGGGTCATTGTAAAGCACTAATGTACAAATCTGTCACTTCTAACTGATCAGCATTTATATTCGTGTTCAAGACCAAATAAGGTTTAAAATAAGAATAACACTTAAAAACATTTTCCATAATTTTTCACAACAAATTGCATGTTGGATGTTTTTTCACGACATTCTTGTCCATTTCTTCTTTTATTATCAAACCATATTAAAAGAAGACGAAAAAACAAGAATGCAATTTGATGAGAGGTCAGGAAAAACAAGCAATGTGAATTGTAAGCCTAAAGGTAAGGTTGTTATAAGTCTGTGAGTTGTCCATGCCTCCAATGCTGTGATATCTGTATAGAACATTTCTGCCACTAGACATGTCTTTGACAGTTCTGGCACCAGTTTCTACTGTAATCATGCCAGAACTGTTCATTTTGACATCATGCATTTCATAATACCAATGAAATATATATTTATAAACAGGTTCTGTCCATTTGACCACATTTATGTACCTTCTGGAACAATCGTATTTTAGGTCCCTGAAATAAAGTGTAGAGGTTAGTTGATAAATTAGTATTCCAGACCAAAACAAACAACGACCACAAACCTAGGTCCAATCATTGATTAACACAAGGACATGGTACTACAATATAATTGTCTGAAATTTAATAAATAAAAGACCAACACAAATAGAAGTTCACCAGATGTTCTGGATTACACGAGAGTAATCTTGTACTGATGGATTCTACAAAGTAAGAAACCTCCTTCCCTACAGGAACACTACTAAGAGCTGGGTAAACCTCCTTCCCTACAGGAACACTAATAAGAGCTGGGTAAACTCTTACTGGTGTGAAAAACAACTCTACTAACCATAGCCGCAATCTTAAATAAAGATTAAAAACAATTAATTGGGAAAGACAGGATGTGAAATACCGGAACCTGTACCATACTTTAACAGGTCTTACACTAAACAGAAACTGATAGCCTCGCTTTGATGGCGGCGAACTAACCAGAGAATTACTACAGGTGCTATGACCATTATACCGGTCGGGCGAGGTGGACAGCCATGTTGTCGTCTGAAATACAGTTACTCTACAGATCACAAGGACACTCTTCTCTAAAATACTTAAAACCATTTTAACAAAAGGAATTACCGAGATAAAAGAAGAATCTTATATCTTGTTCTTCTGGAAACCAGGAAGCTTCAGACAAAATATTCAAAACAATTTAATAGTGAAGACAAATGTATGTCTTGTAATGAAGAAATATTATAGCAAATAGTTTTCTTCATTTGTCTGGAAACATTGAAAACAACCACTATATAACCTTCATCACCAAAGGATGTACCCCAGGAAGTTGAGGCTGAAATGTTACAATTTTCTGTCTTTTTGTTTGTTTATGAAACTCAATATTTTTTGTGAATAAACTAAGCTGTTATTTAAAACACTGAACAAAAACGTTTCTGGGCCCAGCCATTCAAAAAATGATAAGCTTAGTATAATTACAGGCAAGTGAAAGCTAAACTGCCAAAAATATGACCTTCTTAACAAATGTTAGATATATCTGTACCAAGAAAAGAAATGCATGTTAAATTTCGAAATATTTTTTAATAAAAGCCTTTAGAATTTTTTCGCTCTTTTCAGAAATTTGAGTACCTGGGCCCTGTTGGTTTATTTTACTGTTAACCATGTGCAAGCACTGTAAACAACAAAGTGTACAATCAGTTTAGGAACATCTCAGGTGTGACACCACGAAACCATTAATATTCCACACGTCTGCAGAACATCAAATTTTCTCTATAGTGTAAGTCTTACCCCATAATATTGATCCTGAAAATTGTTGAATACTTCACTAAATAATCATCTCTAAATTCTATTCATGAACCTCAACAAAATTTAATTGATCTTGATTTTTTATGCATTAAAACTGAAAGGGCTAATTTTACATGGTATGCAATTAGATATTTTTTTACATCAAATATCAAGTTTTTCATTGTATATGCAAACAAACTTGTAAATTAAAACCTTTATGTGGACTGATGATTTTTCTTCAGAATGGTCTTGTAAAATCTAAATATCACATTTCCATGTTCAGTAACTTATCAATTTTATTAATAATCAAAGCATATGATAATTGCAATTTGTAACATCAAATCATGCAGTTAAATCAGTATTATTACAACTGTACATGTAGTAAATCGTTTTAATAGAATATTATACAATGATTTTGTATTAAAAGAAAATTCATGCTATGAATATTCAGCACTGAAAGTAATTAAAAACTAAACATGATGAGCTGACTAACAGTTCATTGCTATGTACGGTACCTACCATTGGCTGTAGTGGCAGATCAAAGGTTTTAAGTGTGGCTGGCGTTTTTATCAATGGCATAGACGCTGACGTGGCTCGAGTCTTAGCTGAGGGGGTCCTTGTCTCCGTACTATGGGCAGACAATGGGTGTGGAGGGACTATGGGTATCCGTGTCACATTATCGTCTATTTCGGCCTTCTTTGTTGGTTTGATGTCCAGTTTTACTCCAGCCAAATGATGGGACATCTCTGTAAAGTCAACGTACATTATCTACTGGAAAATCATGTCTCATTGAATCAAATGGAGGTTAATATAAAAAGTAAAATAAAATATAACATGGAATTAGAGATGAAATATGAATTAAAGTCAACAACATGTCTGCTGAAGTGTGGTAGATTCTATTTTGGAACCACAGCATACAGCTGATACATTGGTGTTCTCAGATCACTAAAAAGAGCCTACTTGCACTTTCCAAATTATAAAAATAGCTTGCTTAGATTGAAATACATAAGTTGGCAGGTGATAGTCACAGCAAAAGTAAGATAGCAACTTAATTACAGCTGTATATAGTTTTACAGTATTGTACAACCTTAGCATAACACTGAACTTCTTAATTATGGTTCGAGTGGTACAGGACAGGTCATAGCACCCTACTTACCTGGCTGAGTTGGTTTATTTTTTACATGTGGGTCGTGAAGAGGTGCTGTCTTGTGTCGAACAGGTGAAGGGTCTAGAGTAAGTTCTGCTGCTGGTGGAATCAAACCCCTCTCCAGTAAACTCAGGATACCCTTCCTAGCATCATCTTCTGATATAGGGGGAGGGGCAATCTAAAAATAGAAACAACTTATATCAACACAGTTTTGTATTCACTTTACACCAAAAAAAACCCTTTAATTAGCTGAAACTAAACAAAACAGTAGATTTTAATTTCAAAAGCCTTCATTCACACTGGCTCCGATTATATGACATTATTTAACCTTACTGATCATGTGACTATTACAATGTATCATAGCAGTATTTCACTGTATCTGTGTGTTGATAACAACATGTGTGATAATGATCACGTATCATAATATTTCACTTTCCTGTGTGATGATAACAACATCTTATATTGTTTCATCGATTCTCTGCTATGATTATTTATGACACGTTATAATTTCTGCTCATACCTGTGGGTCGGCCCTGTTAGCTCGTGGGAGTACAGCCAGTGGTTCCACCGTTGTCCCTATCATCGGACGTGGGATATTCTGTAAGAAAGAATGTAATTGTTTTGTTTAATTAGCGATGACTAGACTTCTTTTACTGCGAAGAATACACAAACATTATCTTTACATTTCATACCTAGTTAAACTTTAAAGTTTGCATGCACCTTCAACATAAGACTTATTCACTTTTATTAAACATTGCATAGTTCCCTTAAATAAAATCAACACATAATCAGTTATGTATCTTGAAAAAAATTCTCATAATCCTGAGAGGGTCTTTGATGTTTCCTGAGTTTAAGACTGAGTAAGTGATATTCTGCAGAAATAAATAACAGCAGACATGTACGGTATCACTCAGTAACACGACACACAAACAACGAATATGATAAACTACATTAATGTATAACATTGTAATTACTATAACAGCACATTGCACACATGGACCAATGTTACACACACAAACCCATGTTTAGCAAACACCAAGTTGAAGCCTTCTTGTCAAAAGTACAATAATTGCCATCAAAAAACTAAGTTTCTAAAACTCAACAAATACAGTCACCACAAACTTTTATTAATTGTTAACTCTTGATTTTGTTTTTGGTATGATATTCCCTTCTATATGAAATCTACGGGGGTAAAGCAATGTTTGGATAAATCCAATGTAGTCGCTTCCCAGAAATCTACGGAGTAAACTAATGTTTAGATAAATGCAATGTAGCCGTTTCTCAGAAATCTACAGGGGTAAACTAATGTTTAGATAAATGCAATGTAGCTGCTTCCCAGAAATCTACGGGGTAAACTAATGTTTAGATAAATGCAATGTAGCCGTTTCCCAGAAATCTACAGGGGTAATTTAATGTTTAGATAAATGCAATGTAGCTGCTTCCGAGAAATCTACTGGGTAAACTAATGTTTAGATAAATGCAATGCAGCCGCTTCCCAGAAATCTACGGGGTAAACTAATGTTTAGATAAATGCAATGTAGCCGCTTCCGAGAAATCTTCGGGGTAAACTAATGTTTAGATAAATGCAATGTAGCCGCTTCCCAGAAATCTACGGGGTTAACTAATGTCTAGATAAATGCAATGTAGCCGCTTCCAAGGTTCAATTGATGAAAAATATGCAAATTTTTACTGTTTTGATCGTTAATTAGATATTTCGTTCATCAAAATGTGATCTAGAAAGCTGCCTTTAAGTTCAAGTAAGTAAATTTCACAGTTGTCTACCTTTGTAGATTCCAAACAGTGTTCCCTATTAAGATATTTATCATTTAAACTAATATAATCTTAAATGTTTAACACATAAATCAAACTTTGTTCTTTTTCTTATAGAATAGATCTGCGTATTGAAGAGTATTTGTGATTTTGCTACAGTTGGAGTTTTAATGCTTTACTGATGTATTTGATGGTATGACTACTATTCATTAGCTTGTTACAGTTGGAGTTTTAATACCTTACTGACGTATTTGATGGTATAACTACTATTCATTAGCTTGTTACAGTTGGAGTTTTAATACCTTACTGATGTTTTTGATGGTATAGCTACTATTCCTTAGCTTGCTACAGTTGGAGTTTTAATGCTTTACCGATGTTTTTGATTGTAGCTACTATCCCTTAGTTTGCTACAGTTGGAGTTTTAATGCTTTACTGATGTATTTGATGGTATAGCTACTATTCCTTAGCTTGCTACAGTTAGTGTTTTAATGCTTACTGAAGTATTTGATTGTAGATACTATTCCTTAGTTTGTTACAGTTAGAGTTTTAATGCTTTACTGATGTATTTGATGGTATAGCTACTATCCCTTAGTTTGTTACAGTTAGAGTTTTAATGCTTTACTGATGTATTTGATGATAGCTACTTTTCCTTAGCTTGCTACAGTTAGAGTTTTAATGCTTTACTGATGTTTTTGATGGTAGCTACTTTTCCTTAGTTTGCTACAGTTGGAGTTTTAATGCTTTACTGATGTATTTGATGGTATAGCTACTATTCCTTAGCTTGCTACAGTTGGAGTTTTAATGCTTTACTGATGTATTTGATGGTAGCTACTTTCCCTTAGTTTGCTACAGTTAGAGTTTTAATGCTCTACTGATGTACTTGATGGTATAGCTTCTATTCCTTAGCTTGCTACAGTTAGAGTTTTAATGCTTTACTGATGTATTTGATGGTAGCTACTATTCCTTAGCTTGCTACAGTTAGAGTTTTAATGCTTTACTGATGTTTTTGATGGAGTTACTTTTCCTTAGTTTGCTACAGGTTGAGTTTTAATGCTTTACTGATGTATTTGATGGTATAGCTACTTTTCCTTAGCTTGCTACAGTTAGTGTTTTAATGCTTACTGAAGTATTTGATTGTAGATACTATTCCTTAGTTTGCTACAGTTAGAGTTTTAATGCTTTACTGATGTATTTGATGGTATAGCTACTATCCCTTAGTTTGTTACAGTTAGAGTTTTAATGCTTTACTGATGTATTTGATGATAGCTACTTTTCCTTAGCTTGCTACAGTTAGAGTTTTAATGCTTTACTGATGTTTTTGATGGTAGCTACTTTTCCTTAGTTTGCTACAGTTGGAGTTTTAATGCTTTACTGATGTATTTGATGGTATAGCTACTATTCCTTAGCTTGCTACAGTTGGAGTTTTAATGCTTTACTGATGTATTTGATGGTAGCTACTTTCCCTTAGTTTGCTACAGTTAGAGTTTTAATGCTCTACTGATGTACTTGATGGTATAGCTTCTATTCCTTAGCTTGCTACAGTTAGAGTTTTAATGCTTTACTGATGTATTTGATGGTAGCTACTATTCCTTAGCTTGCTACAGTTAGAGTTTTAATGCTTTACTGATGTTTTTGATGGAGTTACTTTTCCTTAGTTTGCTACAGGTTGAGTTTTAATGCTTTACTGATGTATTTGATGGTATAGCTACTTTTCCTTAGCTTGCTACAGTTAGTGTTTTAATGCTTACTGAAGTATTTGATTGTAGATACTATTCCTTAGTTTGCTACAGTTAGAGTTTTAATGCTTTACTGATGTATTTGATGGTATAGCTACTATCCCTTAGTTTGTTACAGTTAGAGTTTTAATGCTTTACTGATGTATTTGATGGTAGCTACTTTTCCTTAGCTTGCTACAGTTAGAGTTTTAATGCTTTACTGATGTTTTTGATGGTAGCTACTATTCCTTAGTTTGCTACAGTTGGAGTTTTAATGCTTTACTGATGTATTTGATGGTTTAGCTACTATTCCTTAGCTTGCTACAGTTGGAGTTTTAATGCTTTACTGATGTACTTGATGGTATAGCTTCTATTCCTTAGCTTGCTACAGTTAAAGTTTTAATGCTTTACTGATGTATTTGGTGGTAGCTACTATTCCTTAGCTTGCTACAATTGGAGTTTTAATGCCTAACTGATGTTTTTGATGGTAGCTACTATTCCTTAGCTTGCTACAGTTAGTGTTTAATGCTCTCCTGATGTATTTGATGGTAGCTACTATTCCTAAGTTTGTTATAGTTGGAGTTTTAATGCCTTAATGATGTATTTGATGGTAAAGCTAATATTCCTTAGTTTGTTATAGTTTGAGTTTTAATGCCTTAATGATGTATTTGATGGTAAAGCTAATATTCCTTAGTTTGCTGATCTTAGTCTGTATTTGGTCAACCACATCTTGCATTAAACACACAAAATACAATCATGAGTAAGCATGTTGGGGTCAGCACAGCGGTCAGACTTTACTCACACGGGTCACTTTTATGACCACTCCGCTATTATCCTTTTGTATAAGTCTGACCTGTCTCTGAAAACATTATCAGTTATAGGTACAAAGGTGAAACGTGATCCAAATCAAACACATATCTATGTGAGCTCAAGTTTTGTGTAAAGTCCACAATAATAGGCTGATTTTTTTCAAAGTGAGTAGAAATTGCTTATAGATGGTATATTCCACTATGATATTAAGTCATCAGTTAGTTGAAACTTAATTTTAAAGACTTGGATACCTATTTGTAAGTGATTTGACCTTGCAATAAACAAGTCAAAACAAAACAGATTTCATATTGTTATAATACGTAGTATCGATAAACTAGATACTGATCATGAACAATCCATAAAGCTTCTGATCTAAATCGTGTGATATCTTAATCATATCCAAAATATTCTTTATTTTGGATAAAATAGGTTTTGAACCAAAGTTTTAATCATCATTCAGTGACAACTCCAAAGTTGACAAGTTATAAGTAACATACTCCACAGTTTCCAGTTAGAAGGGACAGACCTACCTTATTTTCATTGCGCTGAGGTATAAGTGGAAGTTGGATTCCAAAATTGTCGTTGAGAGATTGTCTGTTCTGTCCATGCATTGGGTTCAATACAGCTCTCAGTGTTAACATGTGTTTTGTCTGGTAACATAAATCATTTGATACCAATGAACTCACAGACCACAGTTTTACACAACTTGGAATATTGGTGACTGAAAATTCAAGGTAAAGTACCTTGTGGATACTGATAACAAGGAAGCCAGACTCCCTGTACAAGCCAGACTCCCTGTACAAGCCAGACTCCCTGTACATTATGCCACTAATCTCACGGTTAATATCGGATATCAAACAGGCTGCAAAAAAAACAACTAATGAACATCAGTGTTTAACCTTTTATAATGATCTCTATTAATCAACTTTTTCATTGCCCACTTATATTGAAATACATTGTAAATCTAGATTTATTTTATATTAATATAATATATATTGATAAAATGTTAAAATCAGTGTTATATTAACCTTGTAATGTCAATACTATGTTTATCCATCACCACTGACTGTGACCTTTACATGTGACCTTGACCTTACCTGTTGACCTGGAGATGGTCCCGCTACCTGAACCTGCTGTCGTTTAGGTAACAGTGCCCCTGGAGGTTGTGGCTGTCTTAGCTTCTCTCTGATAGTGAAACAATGATCAATCAAAGAAGGAAAATTGAATGCAATGCAGACCAATCAAAGAACAGCATACAACCGAACAGGTTGTCAAAGATTCTAATGAGGAAAATCTATGACTTTCAAAGGATAAAATAACCTTGACAAGTTGTTAAAAATGCTATATTGATTAAAGATAGTCTATTGATTGATAGAAAGAATGGAATTTTGAAATACCTGGTACATGTACAATAAATGTGATCAAATTTCAAAAACAGTCTATCATATACACACCTGGCAAGATACTGCTGGTCATGTGTTCTTTTCATTTCTGTTTTAGTCTTATTTCTAAGGTCCCACGTCTGTTCCATGGCCACCATGCCCGGGTCAAACCTGGTACTGAGGGCCGTGGGCAGGGTCTGTACTTGGTTGTTGTAGTGGTTGATCACCTGCTCTGTCTTCATCTAGAAACAAAGTCACTATTCTCATGTAAACATATTGTGTTCTCAGCCGACTGTTTCCTACACTTATTGCTAAGTGGTGCTATAGTAATGTATTGGTACATAAAAAGTATTATAATACCGATAATCTTTATCTAATGTTGTGAACATTATAATCAATGAGTATAAGCCCCGAAGAGCATTTATTATGATGCCATTCAGGAAACAAATGTTATCTTGGTGGAGGAAAGCTAACGATAGCAACGTCATCATGTCATCGAACAATGCTAGCCCAGCTATTAAATATCGCTTGCTTTTTCGTCACCTCTTGGGATCAAACAGAAATTCTTTGGAGAATTAATGATATGAACCAAACACATGATTGGGCAAAGTAGTATCAACTATGCGCCTTAGGGATCATGGCCTACCAAGTCACCTTCACGACTGTTATATCAAATATTAACAAATTTATCTCATAGTAATTTTGATTACCCCTAGCTAGCTGTACTGTAAAGTATATATCAAAGTTTTCACATAGCAGACATATGTGTACTGTATGATGATTTCAAGTTTTAACATCAAACAAGCATAACCATCGACTAGGTACAAAATGTTACATCATCTGCTAATGGTCTCCCACATTGCAAAAATTCAATTAATTTCAAAGCCACTGATTTAAAGATCGAGAAGTAAGAAACTGCATGCCAATGAAACTTAGCTGGCAACAATGTGGCTTTTGAATTTCAAAGGAGGGAGAGCCTGACTGACTGGCAGCCAAGTGGCTGATCAGTGTAACTTCTCAATCTTCCTTGAATCCTGACTGATGTGATAAAGGCCACTTTGACAATGACACTTAGTCAATATGCCTATAGGGCTACATGACGTCATCAGCGTCTCTCTCAAAATTTTAAATCACACAAATATTCCGTGATGTGATAAAAAGCGTCCACACGGTAAAAGGTTTTATATTGCAGACCCAATATTTGATATTTGTTCAACTTGACTTGTTTGCTTAAGTAATTGTTGAATCAAATAAAAATCAATTATTTATCATCTTGTTGAAAATTCCATTGCAAAAATTGCTATATTACGTACCGGTAGTTCAAAGGTTATATAATTTAATCAGCTATATATGTCCCTTATTTTAGTAGGACAGTTCAATTGGATCTCACTTAACACAGAAAATGACAACAAACCTGAACACTATCCTTCAGGGCACTGGTAATAATGGGCTGAACTCTACTAATTGATAATTCCAGTTTTTTCCTGGTTAAGCAAGACCTTAAATACATTGCTATCACTTGTATAGCCAAATTTCGGCATTAAAAGGATTTAAACATATGTTGAGGGGTTAAGACATGTAAAAGAATTGTCAAAAAAAATAGAAAATGTATATACTTGACAAATGTCAGCAATAAGTGAAGGAGCAGAAAAATAAGGAACATTATATCAATTTCTTGAGAGATAATCAAGGGCAAATACAGTAAAAAATTTGTTACAAGTATAGTGATGAATTATTTGAATGGATTCAAGTTTGTATTGCATAGTGATAAACAGAGGGCATTACAGTGAAGTTTTGCTAAATGCTATTTATAATCCTTTTTTTCAGAAATTCTGTGTCTATTGAATATGTCTAACAGACGACATGCAACCCACCTGTAGCCCCTCCTCAGTTTTGGCCAGGGCACTCTCCAGGTCCTTGATGTTGATGCTGCCCCCGTCCCCATGGTTAATCCTCTCTCGAAGCTGGCGGATGTCATCTTGTACCTGTTGATAGAGGAAAGTAAAGTTTATGGACTATCTATGACTGGTTAGTAACATCTACAACAATATCAAACACCAGTGCAGGAGGAAAGCAGTATCTAGAGGAGGTTTATTATTTATTGTAAATAATGACACAATTTCAAATTTTATCTGAATTGGATTGTCTTTTATTTTTCCTCTCAAACAGCTTGACAAATGAAGCTATTTGAGGCATTGTTTCTGAAACTCTGTTAAATGTACATTGAGTCATTGGCCAAAAACATTTCAAGGCGGAATAGTAATAGAGTGTATAATATGTAGGTGTGAGAGTATGGAAATTAAACACCTGAGGATACACAATTTACATATATCCTTTACACTTACATCTAACCTACCACAGCTTCCATGTTATGTAACATGGAAAGGAATTGTGAAGTGGAAAGATGCTTTCTATGCCAGCCTTCCAGCTATAATGTTATATCATCTTATTAGGAAATGTGGAATATTTTTGTTTTCATTGTGACATCACTAATACAAGTCAACCAATGTAGAGATAACATGCAACCCAATACTACCACCAATTTACATGGACTAATTCTACCCTACAACCCAATATTACCACCAAATCACATGGACTAATTCTACCCTACAACCAAATATTACAACCAATTCACATGGACTAATTCTACCCTACAACCCAATATTACCACCAATTCACATGGACTAATTCTACCCTACAACCTAATATTACCACCAATTCACATGGACTAATACTACCCTACAACCCAATATATCCACCAATTCACATGGACTAATTCTACCCTACATCCAAAGCTATAGGAGAAACAGCTTGAAACCATATAAGTTCTTGTTTATACGGGATCTTTATATGTGTATGTTTATTTTGTTTGCCTTTCTGTGATTTCCTCTGGACAATTAAATATACAGACAAATCTGGGCCCGTGTTTGGGTACTTAGACGTGTGTTCAATCGGAACATGATCCCTGTATTCCATTTCCACCTGTGTATATATACAATCAGTTAGGTATAGGACATCGACATTGATTTTCCTAATCGGGTACTAGATTTCAAAGGCAAACTGATTTGTAACCTGGGGTGTGGTGTTTATAGACTTGCTGGAATAAGTCTGCAGGCTACGTACATAGTGTGGGATCTTCAGTGTCTGATATCTAATACATTACACTGTACCTAAGTACATATGTGTACTGTCTCAGGTACCATATATACACTGTCTAGTACCATATATACACTATCTAGTACCTTATGTACACTGTCTAGTACCTTATGTACACTGTCTAGTACCTTATATGTTCACTGCCTAGTTCCTTATATACACTTTCTAATACCATATTAAATACACTGTCTAGTACCTTATATACACTGTCTAGTACCTTATATACACTGTCTAGTACCATATATACACTGTCTAGTACCTTATATACACTGTCTAGTACCATATATATACTATCTAGTACCTTATATACACTATCTAGTACCTTATATGTACACTGCCTAGTTCCTTATTTATACTTTCCAGTGCATTATGTAACAGTCTGGTGCTTTGGTCCATTGCCTGATAACTTTAATGTACTAGCTTAGGCATCCAAACTTTAAGGCACTTTGTCTAGTAGCTTAATTATATTGCCCACTACCTTTATATAGATTGCCGAGTTCTACAACAGTGTGACTGATTTTGTCTGGTATATAACGAATACAGTTTGGTACCACTGACTGCCTGGTATAGATTACATTTACTGTTTAGTAGATTATACACCCTCTGGCAGATTGTGTATACTGTCTAGTAGATTGTGTATACTGTCTGGTAGATCATGTTTACTGTCTGGTAGATTATGTATATTGTATAGTAGATTATGTATACAGTCTGGTAGATTATGTTTAGTGTCTGGTAGATCATGAACATTTTCGTGTATATTATATACACTCCCTGGTGGCTTAATATATAATATATAGAGTATTTTGTATACTATTGTATACCTGGGCCTGTATTCATGAAACCGTTCACATGCTCAAGCATGGATTCTGTGCTCAAATCAGCTTTTTTGTAACTCACTTAAATCATGTAAAACACTCAAAAAGCAAATGTAAACATTGAAAACAGTATTCAGTGAGTTTTCCAAAATCATTGAAAAAAAAAGAGATTTTTTTATTAAGTTATAACCGAATAATTTAATCTTGCTTGTAACAAGCATTTTCATTCGCTTAAAAATTTAAGTTATCAGTCCATAACGTAAAAAAAGGCGTCAAACGTTGCTTTTGATTGGCTGATACTGCAGCGCAATAATTTCTAAAAGAAAAGAGTCCATCAATAAAAGTGGATTTCCACAGGGATTGTGTATAGTAGATTAGCGGTTTATTTAGAGTACACTCCGTTTTTTTGTGTTATACCTCCATAACATGAAAAACATATTCAAGTTAATCCTTAAAACAAGAAATTAGGCTTGAGCACAAAATCCATGCTTGAGCATGAAAACGGTTTCATGAATACGATTTTTAGTAAATTTAATGAATTACCCCTGGGTCAAATCATATTCAATCATAAACCTTCAGCAACACATAAAATATGCACTGTTTGCAATTTCTACATTGAACTTATTGCATTTATTCCGCAGTGTATATCACTATTACTGGTAGCCTTGTAAGTGTGACTGCTGGGTAACCAGCTCAAAGGTTATCTACCTGTGTATTATAGTGTACACCCTCTCATAACTTCAAACAAATGTCTTCAAATGTGGTAGTTTTCCTGGTTCAGACCTTTTTTCACCCTAGTGTGCAGCTGGGGGCGACACTAACCTGTTTATAGAAGGCCTTATCTAAAACAGTATATCTGGTGCAGGTTGGGCAGACATGTTATCTATTGATTTTACAAGCCCGGGAGCATTGACTGGTGTTATAGTAAAGAGAGATTGACTGGCTAACTTGCTGGAAGTAAAATCTCCTAATCCTTGAAGTGTGTCTATAAGTCCGGGAATTCTGTGTTATAGATGTATTTAAATAATGAAAGTTTACTATACATTAGTCCATCTACCACTGATATTGGTTACAAGTGTTGAAATGAAAGCATTTAACTTTTGGATAATGTTGATCAATTTAAAACTAGAAGTTTGTTTTTGTGAACAAAAACATATGTCTCCCCTTATTATTAGCCAATAGAAAAACTTTGGTATAAAAAATTAACAAAGGGCCATATCTCTTTATATAGAGGGGCACAAGACCCGAATTTAGGATGTGACACTCCTACTTCCCAAGATACATTAAGACTATAGCAAGTTTGGTCAACGTAGGTGAAATAACATGGAAGTTATGTCGTGGACACACTTCAGTATAAAAAATAAACAAAGGGTCATAACTCTGTATATAGTGGGGCACAAAACCTGATTTTAGTATGAGAGATTCCACCTTCCCAAGATACATAAATATGGTAAGTTTGGGCAACGTAGGTGAAATAACATAGAACTTATGCTCCGGATAAACTTCGGTATTAAAATTAAACGTAGGGCCATAACTCTGTATAAAGTGAAGCACGAGACCTAATTCCAGTGCACTGCACACCTTCTGTGGGTGATGCAGGTATACTTCAAGTTTGATCAAGATATCTTTAAGGGTTTAAATTTTACGGGCCGGACAAGAATTTACTGAAAATGTTGCACTTATTTGACCTCTGACCTTGAGGTGTAGGTCACAGTGATCTAATTCCAGTGCACTGCACACCTTCTGTGGGTGATGCATGCATACCTAAAGTTTCATCAAGATATCTTTAACAGTTTAAAAGTTATGGTCCGGACAAGTTGCGATAAGAAGAACCAGAAGAAGAAGAAGAAGAAGAAGAAGAAGAAGAAGAAGAAGAAGAACCAGTACTAATACAATATGTCTCCCTTCATTCGAAGGGGAGACATAATAAAATTGCATAAAATTGAAAGATCCTTATTGTATACATGTGTGTAGGGGATACAAAGTTTATCTGTCCTCCTATGCCAATTCTGGAAATAATCTTTCCTGTATATTTTACCTTATAAACATTGAAAATGTCTTTCATTAACGTACTTGAAAAGAAAAGAAAACATTATCACCCAAAGCTGCATATTAACGGTCATGTTTCTGAAAGTGAGCTAATTCTTATACAAACAAGTCCTTAGGAATAGTCTTAATTCTAATAGACAGCTGGTCCTAATAAGTTGTCTTAATCTTACTGACAGGTCCTAAACAGTTATTTAAATTGATACAGACAGGTCCTAAGGAGTTGTCTTAATCTTATTTTATAGACAGATCCTAAGGAGTTGTCTTAATCTTATTTTATAGACAGGCCCTAAGGAGTTGTCTTAATCTTATACAGACAGGTCCTAAGGAGTTGTCTTTATCTTATTTTATAGACAGATCCTAAGGAGTTGTCTTAATCTTATTTTATAGAGAGATCATAAGGAGTTGTCTTAATCTTATTTATAGACAGGTCCTAAGGAGTTGTCTTAATCTTATACAGACAGGTCCTAAGGAGTTGTCTTTATCTTATTTTATAGACAGATCCTAAGGAGTTGTCTTAATCTTATTTTATAGACATGTCCTAAGGAGTTGTCTTAATCTTATTTTATAGACAGGTCCTAAGGAGTTGTCTTAATCTTATACAGACAGGTCCTAAGGATTTGTCTTTATCTTATACAGACAGGTCCTAAGGATTTGTCTTAATCTTATTTTATAGAGAGATCATAAGGAGTTGTCTTAATCTTATTTTATAGACAGGTCCTAAGGAGTTGTCTTAATCTTATACAGACAGGTCCTAAGGAGTTGTTTTAATCTTATACAGACAAGTTCCAAGTAGTTGTCTGAATCTTGACTAGACAGGTCCTTAGAAGTTCATTGTCTTAAGCTTGACATATTCCATCAAAATATTTTTCACTCAAATATAAAGAATTTCCTTAAGAGTCAGCATTTTGCATCCTGCATCCAGCTTTGTATTTGATAGTATTTAGTTTTACCATACTGTATATATAACAAGGCATTGATTAAGTCAATGGAGTCCTGAGTGCTAACAGGGCCAAATGTTTTAATAGTACCTAACAAGTGGCATCTACAGGAAAGAAATTATGGGTACCTCATGTTAATGGCCATAAAATACAACTGGTGAAATATCAGACAATCTACCACATATAAGACTACAAGTAATTTCGATATTGGGAAAACTTTAAATCTACTAGAGGTAATTTTAATTATAAAGTCATAATAGAACATGTTCTACTTGGATGAGCGTGAATAAACACTTATCCCTAAACAGTTCAATCTACACAAACAAAATGCAAGTAACGCTATACCGGCTAAAACACCTTCACAGCTATAAAAGAATATAGCCACCAAAAAGATCAATTTACACCTCTAAAACCTTTTAATATTTTACATACCCAGATTTCAATGTACATAAGAATGTAGTCTGTTTTGTAAATATCTGTGATTAATCTCGGTGTCCTGACATGTATAAGTGGCTTGGTCTGATCAATGTACTGTTAGGAAATTTTCTTGCTAATGATATACCATATAAAAACTAAATTTTGTGGAAAGTATGAAAGATATAGAATGTGCACGACATCTATACAATAGATCGCTAAGACTCTAAAGTAAAATTAAAATGGCAAACCTGTAGAAGACTTTGGTAAATAATAGTAAGTATACTCTTTATTGTAGCTAAGAGTGCCTTGTGTCCAAGCATTATATCGTGTTGATAATTACACATATTTTTGAAATATTTGTTCAATTGATTTGCTCTACAGGATAATTAACGAACAAATACAAACCACAGTAGGACTTGATAAACTATTGGTTTTTTATTTATAACAGCCTTATAAACCACAGTAGGACTTGATAAACTATTGATGTTTTATTTATAACAGCCTATAAACCACAGTAGGACTTGATAAACTATTGGTGTTTTATTTATAACAGCCTACTCGACAGGGAAGAACTGTTTACAACATAAGTGGATAGTGATAAATTACAGCTTAATATACTATAGACTGCATGTGTGGTAATTATAATCAGTATATTATCTAATGTCACTACCTTAATATAACTATAGAAAATGGTCGAGTGACCGTCCAAAATGTTTGTTAAAGCTGTCACAAGAAGTAACTGAAGCATTGCGAGATTATTGAAGATTTTGTAATCTTATCCTAATCTGTTAAGGGTATAACAACCTTACCCTAATCTATAGTATGGTTTTTAAACACACATGACTGTTGGAGCTAATTATTTTGATTACTGGGATTGTTTTGTTACATGGCAGAATGTGTACAGGATTTCCATTTTCCACAGATTGAGGACTGTCCCTTAGGAGCTTGTTATTGAGAACAAAGCCTCCGACAGGACTGTCCCTAAGGAGCTTGTTACTGAGAACAAAGCCTCAGACAAGACTGTCCCTTAATTAGAAGATTGTTACTGAAAACAAAACCTCAGGCAGGACTGTCCCTAAGGAGCTTGTAACTGAGAAAAATCCTCAAACAGGACTGTCCCTAAGGAGCTTGTTATTGAGAACAAAGCCTCAGACAAGACTGTCCCTAAGGAGCTTGTTATTGAGAACAAAGCCTCAGACAAGACTGTCCCTAAGGAGCTTGTTATTGAGAACAAAGCCTCAGACAGGACTGTCCCTAAGGAGCTTGTTATTGAGAACAAAGCCTCAGACAAGACTGTCCCTTAATTAGAAGATTGTTACTGAAAACAAAACCTCAGACAGGACTGTCCCTAAGGAGCTTGTTATTGAGAACAAAGCCTCAGACAAGACTGTCCCTTAATTAGAAGATTGTTACTGAAAACAAAACCTCAGACAGGACTGTCCCTAAGGAGCTTGTTATTGAGAACAAAGCCTCAGACAAGACTGTCCCTTAATTAGAAGATTGTTACTGAAAACAAAACCTCAGACAGGACTGTCCCTAAGGAGCTTGTTATTGAGAACAAAGCCTCAGACAAGACTGTCCCTTAATTAGAAGATTGTTACTGAAAACAAAACCTCAGACAGGACTGTCCCTAAGGAGCTTGTTATTGAGAACAAAGCCTCAGACAGGACTGTCCCTTAGGAGCTTGTTACTGAGAACAAAGCCTCAGACTGGACTGTCCCTTAGGAGCTTGTTACTGAGAACAAAGCCTCAGACAGGACTGTCCCTTAGGAGCTTGTACTCAGAGAACAAAGCCTCAGACAGGACTGTCCCTAAGGAGCTAGTACTCAGAGAACAAAGTCTCAGACTGTCCTGTCCCCTTAGGAGCTTGTTACTGAGAACAAAGCCTCAGACAGGACTGTCCCTTAGGAGCTTGTACTCAGAGAACAAAGTCTCAGACTGTCCTGTCCCTTAGGAGCTTGTACTCAGAGAACAAAGCCTCAGACTGGACTGTCCCTTAGGAGCTTGTTACTGAGAACAAAGCCTCAGACAGGACTGTTCCTTAGGAGCTTGTTATTGAGAACAAAGCCTCAGACATGACTGTTCCTTAGGAACTTGTTATTGAGAACAAAGCCTCAGACAGGACTGTTCCTTAGGAGCTTGTTATTGAGGATAAAGCCTCAGACAGGACTGTCCCTTGCTTACTGAAAATAGTCAATGTCCCTGAATGGGCTTGTTACTGAACAATCGGTCATATAGGACTGTCTTAAAATAAAGGCTTCTTAATGAGAACCTACCCTCATAAAATCATAGGCCTTAAACCTTAGGGTCTAATTACTGAACAGCACCTCAAATAGAACTGTCCTTACCCTCAGATATAACTGTCCCTACCCTCAGATATAACTGTCCCTACCCTCAGATAACTGTCCCTACCCTCAGATATAACTGTCCTTCAAGGTTTTGTCACTGTTTGTATGTCTGGTATCGGTTACAGAAACACATACAGGGTACTGAGGTTTTCTCCCACAACGACACCCTGCACACTTCCATCTGAACCAACATGACTAATTAATCAAGGTTTATAAAATTAGTTTTTAGCTAAGGCGTTAGCCGCCAGCTATTGGTATTACTTNGATTGTTCTTAAAATATCATACATTCAACTTATAACCAAGCAACAGATTCTCCCCAGAAATACACCCTTACAGTTTTACCTCTTTGACAACTTGTGAATAATCCACATCCTTACAGACAGAACCTTTCTTTTTCACCTCCCGAGCGTGGAAGGGATACGGGAGCGCAGGAAGACTCACACTGCTGTGCAGTTCAAACACAGTCCTCTTTTCTGTCATTTTATAAATCTACCTGGAAAATTGTCCTTTTCCTTTGGAAATCGAAAACTTACTATTTTTCACTAAAATGTTAACACATCCTGATTGCACATTTGATTTTTAGTTAGTATTATCACAGGTAATCCATTGACCAGCGGGTGTCGCTCTTCTGGCAATGATGTAATATTTAATGTCTGTGTACCTGGAAATTATAACATCTTCTGACTTACAACAAAGGAAACAGGCTCTAAGACAGTTACACATAGCAGTGTACACGTGAGAACTGAGTTATCAGACAATCTTACTTGTATACTGATCACTGACTATGTATCTCTGTAAACAGTCAATATCTACAACACCTCATTATGAACTCTGGGATAGAATGAATCCCGATGATAGGTTCTATATCCTCATATTAAAATTTAAATGTCTGCAGTGTACTCGAGTCCCATTTCTTTCAAATCCGATCAATATTTTGAACACATACCACTTCTTGCACAAAACAATTAAATGTATATATGCCTAAGTAATGGTACTGTAATGTTTGGGTCGAGTACAAACAGTATAAAAATGATTTTTAGTGATTAGAAGCGTATTAAATTACACAGAACTATAATGTGTATAAATGTTTACAAAATATTGTACTAAACAAAGGCAACTACCAAAGTAAAAAAGTCAATGATACAACTGTAGATAAGAGTATTAATTATATTTGTGTGATCAAAGGTTATCTTAGATGTAAGCCAATAAACATGACTGTACTACATGTTTATACTAATTATCATATTTTAGAATATCACATGATGCTAACTTCTCCTGAATAAGGCTTTGACTGATCATGAGATATAGGTTTTTACCATTTAAAGGTTTGAATTAACTTCATTTTTATTTTGATCAATACCAGCATTTACACTATATATAAGATAGCAAGTCTTTTGTTATCTATGGAGAAGGTGAAGCTAACTTGTCCATTCAAACTACAGTATAACATGAACTAGAAGGTACCCAAAATGACTTTTCAAAGAAAATTCTACACATTTCCTATTCAGTTACTGCATATAATCAGTAATTTTTACTACGATGAAAAAATAGTTGCCTTTATAATTAGCTTTCATTTTGTGTATTTCTTAGAAAATGACTATTACATCACCAGACACTGCATTCATAGTCTCATGATAATAAGCTGACATTTTATATAAAGAAAGACACTTTCCTTGACCCCACGTGCACCTGCTTATGACAGAGCCTGTCAATCCTACTGCCCACAGGTATTATATGGAGTCCCTATTAAAATCATGCACTCAGTCCAGTACACAAGGCATGAGTTAATATAAGGAAGGTTTGTACAGGTAATCTTGAAATTCTTCATAGGATTAAATGTCAATTCATAATCCTTTCATAAAAAAGTATTGTTGCCATAATGCAAAAAAATGGCATAACACATATATCAGGGTAAAAAGTTTTCCCCTCTGCCCTATAGGCCTGTACGGGTGTGAACTATGGCAACTGTCTAGAACGTTAACTGAACTAATCAAATAAGAGCGCGCTCAAAATTTTATCGTAAAATCCATTCAAGGGTTAAACATTAGAACTAGAACTGATATGGCCAACTCCTTAATTGGATGGACCTCCATAGAAGCTTACCGGGATACATTGATAGAAGAAAACTTTTATTTCTCGGTCATCTTTGTAGACTGGACAGTAAATACTTAACTCATACTATATTTCTCAAATGCCTATTCATGCATATTTTGAAGGAGTCCTGTCAAACTGGTTTTTATTCCTGATATTGTGAGAATACTTCGCAAGTATGATTTGTTCAGTTATCTGTTGCAGTATATTTCAGATACAGTTTTTCCAAGTAGTTCATCATGGAAGTCAATTTCTATAAAGCAGTTTATAATTGAGAAGAATTAATGATGTACGATAGAATGAACAACGATTCAGATTTAAAATATTTTTGCTTATTCATGATGTAATTTCTCCACATATTTTATGGACAGTAGCATTAAAATTCCCTGAACATCTAACTTCTAAGCAAGATAAGCAATATAGTTCGATTATGTGCTACTTTAAGATCAACAAATATTATTGAATTATGCCATTTTTGTGGTATTTTACATAATGACTGTATAACACATATAGTACTCCATTGTACAAAAAACTGAAAGTCTTAGAGACGATCTATGGTGTTTTATAAGTATGGCTTTTGATATAGAACTTGGTGTGTTCTTATACTCTTTGTCTGATTATGATTTAATTCATGTATTACTTGGGGGTAGCCTTCCCCACATATTGAGCTCATCTGATTATGTAACCTTTGTACTGCATAATGCTATTTTTATTGACAAAATGTTGCTGTTGTATCAGCGTTAATAATGAAATTACACGTACAAATGTACGCACAATAGCAATGTCTACCTAATTAATATTTTTTCTCTTATTGTGTGTGTGTTTATGTGTGGGTAAGCCTGAGAGGACCTTGTTGGTAGGGCTTTCCCCACCCCTTGGAAACCTCAGGATTCCCAGGCATTCTAATTATTTTGTATGATTTGCTGTTAACGAGACCATTCTTTCTGTATTTACTAAACTAATTCAAGATTCATTAACTTCTCTCTTCATCTCTGTAGTTAACTGATGTATTTATGTGCATTTAAGTATCAATTAATAATATTTGATTTGTATTTTGACTACACTGTATATTTTTGTAACTCTTCAATTTGGAGGAAATAAAGAAATAATAATACAGGGTCAAATGACCCTCCAACATACACAGGTCAAATAACCCTCCCACACACATAGGTCATACACAGGTCAAATAACCCTCCCACACGTATACAATGTAGGTCATACAGGGTCAAATGATCGACCCTCCAAAATACACAGGTCAAATAACCCTCCCACACACATAGGTCATACAGGGTCAAATGACCCTTCAACAAACACAGGTCAAATACCTCTCACACACATAGGTCATACAGGGTAAAATGTCCGTCCAACATACACAGGTCAAATAACCCTCCCACACACATAGGTCATACAGGGTCAAATGACCCTCCAACAAACACAGGTCAAATACCTGTCACACACATAGGTCATACAGGGTAAAATGTCCGTCCAACATATACAGGTCAAATAACCCTCCCACACACATAGGTAATACAGGGTCAAATGACCCTCCAACAAACACAGGTCAAATACCTGTCACACACATAGGTCATACAGGGTAAAATGTCCGTCCAACATACACAGGTCAAATAACCCTCCCACACACATAGGTCATACGGGGTAAAATGTCCCTCCAACATTACATACACAGGTCAAATAACTCTCCCTCACACATAGGTCATACAAGGTCAAATGTCCCTCCAACATACAAAGGTCACACAGTTCAAATAACCCTCCCTCACACAAAGGTCATACAAGGTCAAATGACCCCATTCAATATCATGACCCTTTAACATACACAGGTCACTTAACCCTCCCATACACACAGGTCATGCAAGGTCAAATGACCCTGTAACATGCACAAGTTACACAGGTCAAATAACCCTCGCATACACACAAGTCATGTAAAGTCAAATGACCCTTAACATACACTGGTCTCACAGGTCAAATAGCCCCCCCACACACAGGTCATAGAAGGTAAAATGCCCCCCAACATACACAGATCATGCACACAACAGGGATATTCAATTCCACAGGCCTGACACTCAGAGTTAGAAGGATATATGATAGGGTAAGAGGAAATGTTCATTATTTAATACAAATATGGCTGAGGCGCTGCCTGCAGGTTACTGCTTTACAATTGAAACTGTATTTCATTTAAAAAACGTATTATATACAAGTCATGAACATTTATTGTTGAAGTGCCAGTGTGTTGCAGCATTATGAAACAAAACAAAATAATGCACCATACTAAGCTGTAGGTCTGGATTTCAAATGGAAACATCTAGAGATTCAAAAGACCTTGGGGTTACATAATATTTTCAATACTGCACCAAATCAATACTGAGCAATCTCAGATAAGTAGAAGGAATCCCTTAAGCTTTCACCCAGACAAATCATTGTTCTATACAAACCATAAATAAAAAATTAATTACTATTAATATTGATCTTGTTTTAGGCTTTCAGTCGCGTGGTACGTTATATTCTAGTCGCTGGGTAAGTTATATCCTATTAGGATATATAGTACCCAGCGACTGAAAGCCTAAAACAAATCAATGTTAATAGTAGGTGCGTGCCCCTGTCCCCAGCTGGTGCCACCCACTCATA